TTCACGTTGTCCTTTCTTTGCACGTCGGAACACCAAAATAACCTCGGGAGAAGCTCCCGTTCTCCATCAGCATAACCCATAGGTGGTTCAACCGTTCCCACATATGGTAAGAGAAGAGACATGTGAAAGTTGGAGTTTACCCTTGCTCCCTCGAGCAACTTTAATTTATACGCGAAATCCCCCACCTTGGCTTCGATCGGATATAGCCATAAATACTTTGCGCCCAGCTTTTGCGAGGCTCTTCAAAATAGCATTGATTGCCGATAGGGGTGAAGTTTCAAAAGCACCAAGTTACCTACCCAAAACTTGGGATCCTTGCGCTTTTCATCTTGGTATTGTTTCATTTGGTTATTGGCGGCGCCAAGATTAACCCGGAGCTGGCGTAGCGCCTCGTCTCTCTCCCTCAACATTTGATCCACCGCGTCGACAGAACTTCGCTGCCCTGTGTAAGGAATGATGCTCGATGGATCTCTCCAAAGTGCGCGAAAAGGATTCATGCTCGAATGGTACGTAGTGTTATACCATAGTTCAGCCCGCGGGAAGAGAGCCAACCACCGTTGTGGCTGTTGCTGGGTAAAACAATGCAAATTTTGCTCCAATCATTGATTTGTGCGATCCATCTGACCATCCGTCTGTGGGTGGTATGTCGTGCTCATGCATAGTTTGGTTCCCGACTGCGCAAATAGCTCCCTCCAAAACACGAAGTCTTAGTCACTAACGATGGAGGCGGGTATTCCATGATGTCGCACTACATACTTAACAAACTGATTTGTGACTTGCTTAGCCGTATATGGATGCAATAGCGGAATGAAGTGACTGGACTTCGTTAACCGATCCACAACAACCATCAGAACCGTGTTTCCTTCCACCAGCGGCAAGCCTTCTACGAAGTCCTAGAAATAGTTTCCCAGATCTGTTGTAGCACGGACGCTATTCACCATTCCTGACCAATAGAATTGACTTGCCACCCGCTTCAACGTTCACTCAACTCTCGATTGCCTCTCACGACAAATCTGAAACTAGTGAAGCACTATAGTGAACAAAGACGAGTTGGGAGGCACAAAAATCTAGTTCTTGTAGAAAATCAACCCATGATGTACGGTCAGATGTCCCGGCGTTCCCGATATGGCCTCGTCACGTAGCTTTTGGAGATAAGAATCTACACAGCGTCTCCTATCTTGTCCCATAGCGCCTTATCTGGTTTGGAGATTCCTGCGCCTAGTCGTGCTCCCCCTTCGCACCTGGAGAGACCATCAGTGGCCTTGTTGACATTCCCAGATTTGGAATGAATTTTGTAATCTCCCCAGAAGCTTTGCCACCCATTTATGTTGGATCCGGAGTAGAGATTCGTTGGTCGGGCGATGCTTCAGGCTTCGTTCGTCAGTATAAATGTGGAACCGCTGCCCTAACAAGTAAGGTCTCCGAAGTCTTTAACGATGTCGTAATGTCCAACAACTCCCGTTGATACGTTGACCATGACTCCTTAGAAGCACCGAGAGTTCGACTCATGAAGGCGATTGGGTAATGATTTTGTGATAAGACGATGGCAATTCCTTTTCCTGATGCGTCGGTTTCAATATCAAAAGGTATGTTAAAATCGGACATCGCCAAGGTTGGTGTTGACGCCATTGCCAACTTGAGTTCGCCAAAAGCCTTCTCCACTGAATTAGACCACTTGAACGCGCCTTTCTTCAAGAGTTCCGTGAGGGGTTTAGCTATGGTACTGAAATGCTTCACAAATTTCCTATAGTAACCCGTGAGCCCCAAAAACACTCTCAAAGTCTTGATACTTGTAGGAGTCGGCCAATCTAGCATTGCATGTACCTTGCTCAGATCAGCCCGCACGGTCGAGGTACTCTACCTCTCTTTCTCCGAACATACACTTAGAAGCCTTGAGGTGATATTGGTTCTGGCGTAGAATGCGAAATACCTCGCCCAAATGCTCTTTGTGTGATTTGAGGTCCTCACTATACACAAGGATGTCGTCAAAAAATACCAAAATCGACTGTCGCAGTAATGGACTGAATATGCCATCACCGTGGCTTGGAAAGTTGAGGGTGCATTGCATAACCCAAAGGGCATCATGAGGTATTCGTAGTGGCTGTTGTGGGTTCGGAATGCGGTCTTCTGAACATCTTCCTCGTCCATGCGAATATAGTGATAAACTGCGCGCAGATCAATCTTAGTGAAGTACTTGGCCCTATGCAATTCGTCCAACATGTCGTCGCCCGTCGGGATTGGGAATCGGTCCTTCATGGTGGCCTCGTTCAACACACGATAGTCAGTACAAAACCTCCACGTTTCGTCCCTTTTCTTCACCAGTAGTACTAGGGACGAAAAATGGCTCGTACTAGGGGTGGGCATGCGGTTCGGTAAACCCGAACCGAACCGACCCGAAACCGATTTTGATCGAACCGAAACCGAACAATTGCTATTCGGTTCGGAATTCGGAAGCCAAATACAGGTATATCGGAAACCAGGGTTGTCATGACCGAACCCGAATTCCAAACTCCGAACCGAAATCCCGAAATTCTGCTACCCACCCCTGCTAAGCCTGTTACTCTACCCAGCCCAATCCCCCACAACCTACTTTCCAAGCCCATTACACCCACCAACCCAGACCTCTCCTAAAGCCCATTACCCCCAAAACCACAACTCACAACCCTACTCTCCAAGACACCAACGACCGCCGCTCCTCCCTCCGCTGCCGAAACGAGATTCTTCTCCACATGTGAGATGTCTTTGATACAATCACAGCCGCCGCTCCTCCTTCCAATTTCCAGATCTTATCGTGCCGTCCGCGACCGTGCATGTGTCATCGGTGGCCTCTCTCAGCGCCTGTGACCTTCCTCTTCCACTGTCATCGGTGAGCTTCCTCTTTATAAGGGCGGCAACCACATGCAAAGTTCAAAATGGCGGGAATGGAAGGTTCTCGGTGGGAGCCGGATCTGGATATTGCCGCCGAAGAGGGGAGAAGGAAAAATGAGGAATTAAAGTGGGAGAGAGGAGAATAGATAGATTGGGTTTTTTGTGAGTCAATGAAGAGAGAAGAAATACCGAGAGATGGGAGAAAGGTTAGCTTTTTAGGGCCTCCTCAACTCCTCTGCCTTCTCTTTTGAATTCGGGTTTGGATGTTGGTGGTTTCAGATTTGGAGTTCGCCAGTAGCAGAGAGGGGAAAAGAAAGATCAGAGATGGAGAGGGAGAAAATTGGGAAGGAATGAATGAATGGAAAGGGAAAGGGAAAGGGAAAGGGAAAGAGAGAGAGAGAGAGAAGAGGTGGGGTGGGGTGGGGTGTTGGGTCGTTCAAGTTTAAGGGGGAGAGAAGAGAGGGGCTATTTTTTGTCCCTGCGGTCATAAATATCGGTTTTGCATGGAAATCCGAACCGAACTGGAATATAATTCGGTTCGGACAAACTGAACCGAATTATATTTCGGTTCGAATTCGGTTTGGACTGCACCCTAAATCGGAACCTCGGTAGTCACCTATTCGGTTTGGTTCAAACCGAACCGACCGAATGCCCACCCCTAGCTCGTACTGGGTCGGATGAGGCCTCTCCCACGTCCTCAAGCATAACTAGTTATTGTGATAGTGCTAGGGCCCTCCTTCGAAAACCCAGCTGCAAGTCTCCCGCGAGTGAAATTGAAAAAGCACGAGTCTATCCTCCAGCCAAGAGACTTTGGTCTCTCCATCCCGCCCCACAGCCAATTTGCTCAAAAGTGAAGGGTCGAGAGTGGTAGAGGTGAGGCTGGGAATGGATCGACCAGGATATTCTCCCATCTATGAGCTCCATCCTCAATCACTGATTTGGGAATTCATAGAGATCTATTGATGAACTCTTGTTCGAAATACTCTAATCTAGTGTCCTCGGCCACCCCAAATAAGGATACCCACGACCGACCACCACTGACGACACCCGACGAGGCCCTGTTAGCGATGACCACCATCGGAAACGAAACTCGAAACCCTAGTTTTCATTAAGCCTGGCAATCGATTTCCCGATATTCGGTTTAACCGGTAAGTGTACCAGTAACGGCGGTTACCAATATAACGAACACCGACCGATTTCGGTTGTCGACGACGACAAAGAGATCCAATGTATACCGACAGGGACGGTTATCTAGTTAAATCAAATACCGTTAATAAAGGGAAATGCGCGAAACGGTGGAACTGCAGAAGTAAACGCAGAAGCAGTGAAGTCGAGCAGCAGCAGAGATTGGAAGTTCCAACAGAGCAGCCGTCCAGGAGCATTTCTCCCCCTCCGCTATGGTTAGTCGGTATAACCGGTTTGTAACGGTTAACAGGCTACCTGGTTACTGTTCAACCGGTTACAAACCGCTACGATATTCGAAATCCTCCTCGCCTCTAACGGTATACCGAATTACGGCGGGTCGGTTACCGATTAAGCTGATAACCAAACGATTACCACCCCTAGTTTTCATAGAGAATAGAATAGAGAGTGTAGGGAGTGTAGAAATATGATGAGCCTTTAACTTGGCAAGGCATGTCGATTTGTTGCTGACGTCGATTCTAACACCGTGAAAGTTTGAAACATATATGCTAGATTTGTCAAATTACCAACCAAAATCTAGCTATTTTTTTGTATTTATAAAAAATAGCTATTACCATCACAAAATCGGTGATGATGCCAGTGAATTTACCAAGTGTTAGTAAAGATACTACTCAAGTGAAATCGTCCTCTAGTGACTCTGTAGGATCCCACTTTATTCGCTGTACCTATTTCCTGAATTTATTTTCCATTTTCAACATTTCATAACCAATTTTGTAACATTTTTTTCCCGCACATGATAAATACACTCACCTAACAAATTTGGTCCAACAAATAACCCAGCTATTCCACTCTCAATGATGAAGATTGAGAAATGAATTAGTTTTTTATTTCGATTGTGGAAAAAAAGCTATTTCACTCTCAATCTCGTCATCTCTTCAACAAATCTCAGCGTATTCAGCTGCCTCAGCGTATGGACGACAACCACAACTGTGCAAACGAGCGCTCTATTTCTCTATCAATAAATGCAGAAAACAAGAACCCACCACACCAGTAGTAAGGTATTAAGATTCAGAATTTCTCACTCACCAAATCACCCACAAGGGCGAAAAATTACATTTCCTTCAGAATTCCACTCCTGTGGACTGGTTTCCACATTTTAGTCTTTAAGCTATTGTTATGCCATCTACCAACCAACCAAACTAACAAGCATAAAAGCATATCTTCCTCACACAATTCACACGCGCAAATCACTCCCAATTTCCACCAACACTCATCCAAAGAACCAGTACCTGTTAGGAAGAACTCTACACATTCCCTCTGTTCTCCCATAACCCAATCTACTTCACACCATCAACCACTACAGAAACCCTCTCACCTAACAAACCCTAAAATGAAAATAGTGATATACAAACTTCACACCATGATAGTAAGTAGTTAGCCCTACTGAGCCAGCTGCCATAAACTGTTGATCGCCAACAACCAAAGAAACGGTTGTGGGCAGATTACTTGATGCCTGAATATGACGACTTTTGCTGGTTAGATCCATCATAACCAACAAAAGATGGCACTGTACTATACATCATGCACGAATCAGCTAACATGGGACAGCTACGCCTCTACTGCCTTCTTTTTCGACCTTGTCCTCCTACCGACGTTTTCTCTGTCCTCGCTGACATCAGATGGTGCCAACCCAGATTCTTCTTCGGTCGCGCTACCCTTTTGGTCTGCATCATCTTCTTTAGGCTGCAAAATCGAAAAGGAACAGACTTCTGAACTGCAACGAATAACGAAATAAAAGGAAAAGAAGCGGAAAGGGTCGGGAAGATCAACGAGAAAGCAGCAATGCACAAGTTAACAGTAACAGATGCACAGCAGTGACGACCATCACCAACTAGGTTTCAGAAGGGAGCAACAGACCAATTAGAGAGTGGGGAACAGGATACACAAATTTATGCTATTAGATTGAACAGAAGGCATAACAAGAGATTGAGTAGATTGTACTACTTACAAGGGCTGGAAGCTACCATACTAATATCTAACGAGCATCAAACCACTGATGTAATGAATACTTTTCAAGAAAAGATGAAACACTCTTCAAAGAAGTCCCCACGGTCGTTTTCCTGACCAAACTAAAAGGGGACCCCTGAATCTGAAAAGGAGCAAAACAGACGCATACTATTCCAGGGCAACCCTATTGGGAACAGGATAAATAGCCACCACTTTAAACCAAGGGCAAGAACAAAGAATAAAAGCTAGCCATAGAAGAACACAAGTCGACCTTGCATATCCAATAATTGAAGTTGGCAACATTCTCTGTCAGCTAAATAACAATTCTCATAGATTGTAAGAAGCAGAGAATGAACTGATAGCACACCCAAATTTATAAGAAAAATTCTAATCTAAGCAACTATAATAGACACCCAGAGCAAGCAACAGTAAAGTTATCTAATCTTAGCAAACCTTTCACTAACCAAAACTAAGGGTACAGGACAGATTGGCCCCATCCAGAGACATGTAACCTGGAAATTACTTCTGACAAAACATGTCCAAATCAGATGGTATAACATGTACAAAACACAATTATTATATTGATTAATCATATCCGGGACAGTAATTTACAACCACAAAGAAGAAAGTTAATCCCGAATCAGATTTGGCGTGTTACATTTACCTGAGGTTGCTCAATATGATCTCTAGCGCTTTTCAAGTGGTCATCCTCCGATATTTTGGACACAACAATTGTGTTTTCATCTTGAATAATATTCTGCTCTGGAGGCATTTCAACATCCTTGAGGTGTTCTAGAAGCTCTACATCAGCAAAATCCTGTCCCTTGGTCAAATCAACCGTCACTTCAGAAATATTGATGAGTTTCTCAACGATAATCGTATCTTCAGCACATCCTTCAGTAGTGTACAGATCATTTGGTTCACTTGCTTGATTTGAGGTCATACTGGACAGTAACCATTAAAATACTCAGAAGAATGAAAAGCATTTCCCATAAAATTATTGTGTAAATAAGAAAACTATGATAGACGAAAAGGAACTTACCCATTGGTAATGAGATCCTTTGGTGGGTCAACTTCAAGAACCTGTTCCTGCCGTTGTTTCTTACTAATCTGGCTCTGGCTTGATGCTGGATCAACAGACTTTTGCAGACGAAAGTCACTTATTCTTCTTTTCCTTCCAACCTTAAGCACAGAGGGAACTTCCACAATCACTTTTGGTTCATCATCTTTCATGGATAATCCAGTAGCTGTAACAGCCCTACTCTTCTCTTCACTCTTCAAGGTCTTCTCAAGAGAATTCTTGAAAATAACATCAGTGCAACGCTTTATCCAAGAGAAACGAGCAGGACTCACTGGTGAAGAAAAACTTTTGTTTGGAACTGCAGGGGATCCATTATTCACAGTAACAAGACCCAAATCAGCATCCTGTATGGCAGCATGTTGCTTCACATACTTCATTTCAGAAAGCTTCCGCTGGCTACGCTCAATGCTTGACAATTGCATCTGAGCAACTTCCATGTTATCCAAGTTAATTTTCACATCCTCCAACTTCTTCAAATCCTCAATTTGAGTACAGATCTCTTGCCTCTCTGCATGTAGTAGTTCCCTCTGTTTTTCTAATCTTTCGGTTTGGCTCTTGAGTTCCTCAATTGAACTATTCAATACCTCCCACTCTTTCTCTATCTGTTCACGATCCCCAAGCACCTCTTGTCTTTTAGCATCAAGCTTCTCCCTCTCCTCGGCTACTTGTTTCAATTCTTTCTCAATCTTTTCTTTAAGAGAGCATATGTACTCCATCTCGTTTGTCTTCTCTAGCTCAAAAGCTTTTTCCTTGTCTCTAAGATAACTCTCGACTTCTTCGCGTCTTTTTTCAATGCTGCTTTCCAGCTCCCTTTTCCGCACCTCAATTCCCAACAAGAAATCTGCATGCTCCTTTTGAATGTTATTGAACAACTCAGAGCGCTCCTGCATCATCTTATTCATAAACTCCTCCCGCTCACTGTTCAACAGTTCAACATCACGCTTATGTTGATCACGAATCTCTTCCTTCTCTAATCTTAAGCTATCACGCTCATCCTTGATAAAATTTGAAATAGCTTCCCTCTCTTCTGCCATATGTTCGGCTTCTTTGCGCAGCTCCTCTCTTTTTTCATCAAGTAACTCCCACTCAGCTTCAAATTTGGACTTCTCCACTTTTAGTCTCTCTTCTTCAGCCAGAAGTTTCACTTTCTCGGCTCTCACAAGGTCAACTTCTTCTTTAAGTTTCATTTCCAGATCCGACAGCTCATTTGTTTCACTTTTCATTGTCTCCAATTTCTCCTTTGCACTATCAACTTGTATCCTTTTGTCCTCCAAAGAAATCAAAGACTCCTGAAGCTCCAGTTTGATTCTTTTGATGTCTTCTGTTTCTTTCTGTAATAGGGTTCTCCTCATCTCTATATCCTTATCAGCATCATCTAGCCTCTTTTCTCTATCTTCAAGGAAGCTCATCTTTTCTGCTACATCCTTCTCCTTATCTGCCAGGCCTCTGGATCGAGCATCCAACTCATGTTCCTTCTCTCGTAACTCATCTTCGCGTTGATTGAGGTCAACCTCTCTCAACTCCCAAGCCCTTCTTTTTGATTCAAGGTCATCTTCGAACTCCTTACCTCGCATTTGTAATTCAGCTTCCAATTCCGACTTTCTAGCCCTCAAAATTGCTTCATGATCAGCAGTGACCTTTCCTATTACAGCCTACAATATAATGCACAAAAAGAAATCATATACACATGTTTGTTTTTGCATAACCCATAGTTTCCTAAGGGCCATGGAATATTATCTCTGGAAGATGAAGCTACAGGATACTCACTGATTCCTTGCTTGCAATTTTTTCCTGCATAACAAGTAGATCTTGCTCTCTCTTGTTCAACAGGATTTCCTTATCAACAAGTGCCTGAATAAAGTGAAAAGAAAAAAAATCAAACACAATAATTTTCACAAGTCATCAGTCTAAGGATTGGAAACCTCAAGTCTATGCTCCAGCCACTTGAAAAACTAACCTGTTCTCGTTGAGATAGAGAAGCTCTTGTCAAGTCCAAGTTAGACTTCTCACCAGTAAGATCTCTACGTTCTTTCTCAATACTGGCCCTTGAAATTTCCAAATCATTTTCCATCCGGCTAAGTTCTTTAGATTTGCTAGCAATGTAATCCTCCCTCTGGTTAAACAATGCTTGTCCATTGAGCAATCTTTCATGTTCCTGTTGAAGACCCTTCCTCCTTTCACTCAGGTGCTGTCTCTCAAGATCAATTTCCCTCTCCCTTGCGCTGCACCTAAGACACCAAAAAACAGACGAATAGAAAATTAGAAAATCATCCATATATGGCCAACCTTTGTATACCTCACATTACAACAATTGTATAGGCAAATTAATAGCAGTAAACTCAAACATCAGCTGGCAATTTTTGTAGAAATGCACATTATTATTATTATTAGGTTTAAGAGAAAGATCTGATCGCCTGACCATTATTCAGTACATTGAAATGATAATATAAAGAATAAATAGCCTGGGTCACCTTAAAGTTAGTCAGTTGAGGAATATCAAGAGACAAGTAGAAAGAGCAGCCATTAAATGAAACAGCGTGACAAGGGGAAAGGATGCACAGAACCATACTCAGTTTTCAAGTCACTCAAACGCCTAGAAAGATCTTTTTCACGTGCTTCAACTTCCTGAAGTTTTCTCTCAGCAGCTCGCTTACTACACTTGGCTTCAACTTGTAAAGAGTCTGCTGTTCGCAATTTTTCCTCTGCATCTGCAATTTTTTTCTGTGCTTCCTCTGTCATACTGCGTGCTTCAACCAATTTAGATTCAGCTGCAACCTTGGTTTCTGCAGATTCTGCACGCATTTCATGTAGGGTCTTCTCCAACTACAAACATCAAGTTGAACCCATAAGAACACGAAATAAACAAGTAACAAAATATAAAATGAAAACTAAGGTTACTTAAGGTGTGAAGAAAGGAGCATGACATTACACTAGCTATACACTCTTTCTCAACTCCTATAGCCTTCCTCAGACTTTGTTCTCTCTTCTTTGCCTCCGCCAAGGCAGATGCATGAGCTGCTTGGTCACGTTTTCGCAAGAGTTCAGAAGCTTCAGCAGCAGCTTCCATTTGTGCATGTTTTTCAGCAGATTCCTTCCTCTCCAACAGTAGAAGACCCATGTGATGCTGAAGATCAAAGATCTGTGAAAATCAAAGATATTTAAGCCAACAAGATCTGATAGGCTACATATTTTAATCATACTTGAAGAAGACAAATGTACATAACCATTGAAGGGACCTCTGCTATTTCTAATTCAAGTAAATTTCATGCTTTGAGTTACAGGGAAGATGTCCACTTCAAAAGTATCAAGATTTCAATTAATACAAGATGTTGTACTTAACCTTGATTATCAAATCCACAATGGGAAATACACTAACACATAAAAAATGACAGTAAGACATCAGCCCCCTTTTCCTCCAGAACTCTATTTCAAGTACTTCAACCAAACTAGGTTCATACCCTCGCCACAGATTTCAGGTCTAACATCATTCCCAAACAGATAACCTCAACTCAGCACCAAGCATGACCAAGCATTAGTTACTCTACAACTTTATTAGTTGTACAAGAAAGACACCTACAAATGTCATTCAATTTTTAACCATAACGAGAACCCAAAGAGTCCACAATGGAATCAACATGAAGGCTTCCCTTATTAACAATGCTAGTATTGATTACGGCAACCCATAGAACCAAAGGCATCATTAAACTAACTTCAACAACTCAAAGAAACAGTAGGTTCAGTGTAAGACCCATAAAGCAATGCTTCCCGGTGACCGTGGCATACCCCAAACCAAAAGGCCTAATCTTCAGTCGACGACCTAAACGTCCTAGCAGAAAAACTGGAAATCGATCACTACAGTAGTTCGATTCGCAAAGTCCAGCTACTCTTTCCAAGTTTTCTCAAAAACCCATTAACAATGGACCAAGGAAATAACCCTAAAGAAGAAGATAAATTGCACGCTAAAGCTCACAGCCAGGCGACAACAAATTCTGGAGCAAAAGATACGAAAATTTGCCAAAAACAGAGCAGAACAAACCTCAGTTTCAAGCTTTGTGATATAAGAAATCAGAGCAGCCTTGTCTCTACTCTTAATGGACTCCTCGTTCAACCCAGCATCCTTAAGCCGCTTCCAGATCGTGGAATCATCGCTAACCCGCGTCGGCAAAACCCTCGCGCCGGGCGTCAACGACAAAGCCCTGCTACTGGTACTTGGCATAATCGGGCTTGCCATCGCCGGAATCCAATCGGACAATTGACCAAAATACCCTGCCGCCAATAATGCTCAACCTTCTGGGAAGCTACTCGAAATTTTGCTTCTTTTTCCCGTCTCTGCGTTCCCGACTCACGCTTTCTTCTTCTGGGTTTTCTCTCTCTTTCTTTCCTCTCTTTTTTCTTTCTCCTTTAGTCCTTTTACCTCTTCAGTAGAGTTGCGCGTTAGTGACCTGAGTTAGTGGCCGAGTCGGCGCTGAATCATCGGGGACGGGGAGGGAGCGCTGCAAAGTGCTCTGGAGTCTGGACTTTTAAAGTAAATAAAATAGTAAAAAATCCAGTTGGCGAGTTTTTTGAAGCGATTTAGAATGGGACTGTCCGGTGCACGGCGTCGTTTAGGGGAGCGTCCTTGTGATTTAATTTCTCAGCTTCTTTGCTTTGTTTGAATTTTTTTTTTACTGGAGCGTGTTAAACTTTATATTTTTTTTTTCTTTCTTGATAAAAGCTTCCTTGTGATTTAGAGGAAGTTTGAAAGTTGTGATTTTTCAAATGATGCATTGAGTGAATTAGCGTATTATTATTTGATGTATTGTATATCAATTAATGTATTAGGAAAATATCTTGTTTTGTAGTTTAGATTGTGTTTTTTATGTAAGCAACAAAAATTAATTTTAAGTGATTGTGAAGAATTTCTACTTTGTTGATATTGATAATCTCTCAATTTTTTGAGTGATTGTGGTGGGACCTCAAAAAAGTTAGTGCATGTATTCTAGTTCAATATAAGAGGGGAAAAATAACTGAATCTCACAAATACATGAATTAGCTCAATACACCATTTGAAATCACAAGTTCCAAACCACTCTTTGATTTCTCAGCTTTTTTTGTTTAGTGCATTTAGAGGAAAAAATCCAAAACTACCACTATAAAAAAAATTACAAAAATACCACACATACTCAACAATTTCCAAAAATACCACCCTTCCACACAAAACGCGCCTCGAAGGCGCGGTTCACAGTCAAACCGCGCGTTCAAGAGCCGGTTTGACCCTTCCTGTCTGTCAAACCGCGTCGCCACGTGGCGGCCGATGCGACCGCGCGATGGGGAGGCGATCTGACGGCCAAATCGCGTGCCAGCTCAGCTATCCGCGTCGCTCAGTCAAACCGTTGCCCCAAGGCGCGGTTTGTGCATTGGGGGACGTAAACTGCGCGCTGGAGGAGCAGTTTAAGTGGGGTAAAAAGACGAAACCGCCCCTCCAGCACGCGGTTTCGTCCCTATATAAACCCCACCCCTCCCATTTTCTGCACACCAAAACCCACATTCCCCCCCCCCCTCTCTCTCTAACTCCTCACTCTACCCACCCCCCTCCCCACCCAAAAATCTTAAAATTAGTTGTTTTGTTGGTTGCGGCTAGGGATGGCAAAGGGTCAGGTTGGGTCGGATTTTGCCAAACCCAAACCCATGGGTTTATCCGTGAAAAAAACCCGGGATAAAACCCACTGGGTTTGAAAAACTCAAACCCAACCCGCTGGGTATCCGCGGGTTCATGGGTACCCACGGGTTTTTGTCGTAAAAAATTCACAATAACAAGTTCCTATCAAAATTAACGTCAAATATCAATCTCTCAATACAAATTATTCATATATAAACACCATTCTAGAAAATTCAAGCAAATCACAAATTAACTATACAAATTGTTCAACACCAATCTAGGAAACTCAAGAAAATTGAAGCAAATCACAAATTATCCATAAATAACATGATTAATTGAAAGCTTCTTCCTTTCAATCTCCACTCGCTAACATCAAATTCATTCTACACAACTAGAAAGAAAAAATTAGACATGTCTCCACATACATAAATAAGATTAGTTGTTTAGAATATTAAATATACCGAGAAAATTAATTATATGGGTGTGGGCGGGTACCCATGGGTCGGGTTTACCTAAACCCAAACCCAACCCGGTGAATAGTGAACGGGTTTAAACCCAAACCCGACCCAAAACCCGTCAACACGGATTTTACCCGCGTTGACCGGGTTGGGTCGGGTGGGTACCCGTGGGTTCGGGTTTTATTGCCATCCCTAGTTGCGGCTAAGTCCGATCTTCCTTCAAAAAACTTTTTCTTTGGTTTTCACTAAAAAATCGTCGAATCTCTGTCTGGATTCTGAAAAAATGGTTGATTTTATCCAAGAAGAGGGTATTTACTATGATAATTATCAAGCGGCACGTACTCATTTTACCCAATTGTTGTTGTTGTTATAATGATTTATTTAATTTATATACTAATTGATTTTTGTTGTTGTTATGCTATCATAGGTTGGGCCGGATGTTGATATATACATTCAATGATATTATGTTGATCAAGGACCGATTGATCCGACTATTTTATACGATCAAGCCAATCATCGTTCAAGAGACGTTTGGAACGACCACAAGGTACATATTATTTATCATCACTTGTAGTTTGTATTTTGTTAAAGTAATTTATTTGTTTGTACAATAATTTACTTAATTATTAATCGTATTGATTATTTTCAATAATTTAAATCAATACAATACAACACTTATTTAGACTCTTTATAAAGAAATGCATGTCTAAGGAAATGTGGTCTTAAGCGATCATCATGATCCCCCCATGACATGGGAAAATCAGGTTCTAAGCGATCCTCGGATCTCCCCGTTTTCTGTCAAAAAGACTGTGTTTCTAAGGAGATGTATACCTCTCCTAAGAGTCTTACGAGTGTACTTATATTGCTTTAAATTATTGAAAATAATCAATGCGATTAACAAAATAATATATTTCATTTTATGTGTATGTGTAAAAAAAATAATTGTACTTAAATTTTGAAAATTATTTTAGTTATGTTAAAATTAATGTTTATCAGATAATGTATATTTCTCTAAAACAACCTGATTTAATTAATATTGTATCTTATCATATATTTATATATGTATAAATCATCAACTTATAGTGATAGTTAAATTCTTCTCTAGAATGCATACCATATAGTCTGCTATAGGGGCACGACGAATGTGCTTGAATGGAACGACATCATCTTGCCCTTTCTAAAAAGGGCAAGATTGGATTCGATTAGGCACTTTATTGGAATCAAGATCGACCGCCAACTCATCACAGCATTGGTAGAGAGATGGCGAAAGGAGACACATTGCTTCAATTTTCGTGAAGGCGAGTGCACCATCACACTTAAGGACATCGCCATCCTAACCGATTTGCCCATCGATGGTGATGTTATTTGTGTGGACTCTACGCCACCACCTAAAGTTGTTGCAAATATGAGTGGTTGGCAGCATTTTATATGGACGGTCACCGAGTTGTGCCCGCCAGAAAAGGGAGATCATGATGCGGATGGTAATCCACCATTGTCCAAGGGCCAAGTATCCATCACTTGGTTGATATCGGAGATCAGGCGTAAGCACAACCCTCATTTCGGAGGCATTCCCCCTCACGAAGGAAAGTTCGGAGCGTGATAAAGACATTTATGCACGTATCTACATCCTCGGCATGATCGGATGAGTTTTCTTCCCCAAGAAATCCAACAATTTAATTAGCAATTCATGGTTGAAGATCATACTTGGGCGTTGGGATGATATGGGAAACCTGAGCTGGGCATCAGCTTGCCTAGCTCATCTCTACCGCTCCCTCTGTAATACTAGTGCGCGAGTGGTGAAGGAGATTGATGGGGCCATGTTCATCGTCCAATTTTGGGCTTGGGAGCATTTGTCATGGATTGCGCCGAAGGTAGACCCCGACAAGGAATGGGGACCCGACCATCCCCTACGACATGAAGCTTATGGTTGTAGGTAAATACTTTCTATCCCACTCATAGTTCTCACCTTTTTTTATTAATTGGGTATTTTATAACTAAATTTTTATTATGTATTAACATGATGTACTTTTTGGAATTAATAGGTGGCTTGGTGAAAGAACATGCGACAACCTAGGAGCGCATAAGTTGGAGTATCGTAGGAGGCTGGATCGCCTTTGGGAAGCAGAGGTGACCATCATAATACACTATTACTTCCTGCTTTTTTTCAACTTATATTATTATGTTTCTTAATGGTCCATTTTTTCTGCACCTTCGTAGCTTAAGTTCAATCCATATCCAGAACGCATTGTCGCGCATCACGTCCACAAGTTCCCGTTGCATCCCGGTCAATGGTGCACCCGAGTTCCACTAATCTGCCACCATATAGTGGAGTGGCACTTGCCGGATCGATGTCTACGACAATTCGGACGTGAGCAATGCCTACCACTGGAAGTCCCGGAGAGTCAGAGGGGGTACCACGGGAAAGATGGTCGACAAGGATCTACTAATTGGCCGGAGGAGTATGTAGAATTGATTGCTCTATGGAACGTTAGGCAAGATCAGGATATTGTGACGGGATCAGATGTGGGGCGGATGGGCTACCATGACCCATACATGGAAACATACCGAAGACAATCTGTTCGTTACATGACCCCCGAAGGTGCGGCGAACTGAGCTTTGGTAAGTAATTCAGTTTTTATTTATTTAGGCATGCAATGCATTACTTCTCAAATGGCTCACGTTGTTATTTTCTTCGATTTAGGTTGATGGCATCGAGCGTATACACGACCTTGCTCGTATTGCAGATCATTCGGCTGCGGGTCGAGAGGTGGGGCTCATTCGAAGGATAGCGAACAGTCTCCTTGGCTATATGAGAGCGCGCGGACGTGACCATCACAGATACCCGCCAGTTCCCCTAGTTACACCGCGGCCGGTGATGGAGGATGTCCCCCACGTGCCTCCGCCGGTCCATAGAAGGCCAAACAAGGCTACAAGGGATCGACCTCACGTGTCGGAGATCAAGCCGATTGAGGCGTGGAAGGTGCCTACTCCATTGGAGGTGTGCAGCGGTGCAGGGTCGAGTACTCAGTATGATCCCCGGTCGAGTTTTCACTACGATCCCTGACCAAGTGCTTTCTACGACCCCAGTACTCAACATGATCCTCGCCCCAGTTTCCACTATGATCCCACGCCCGGTAGCCAGTATGATCCTCGGTCGAGTTTCCAATACAATCTCCGGCCCAGTTTCCAGTATGATCCCCGACCAAGTACATTTAATGACGCCACATCCTCAGCTACTTGGGCCGATGGTTCATACTCAAGTCCCCACTAAGACTTCTCACCTTTGCATCGACCACAACAACAATGGCAGTCCACTTCCCACCGTATGAGCGTGGATAGTCCTCGACCGCACACGGAGGGGCCACCTAGCACGACACCGCGACAGCATAGCACGGACCAGCGCCCTTCTATGGCGAATAGGAATCTGCAACCACTTCCAACCCCTATTACACCCGGTGGACCAGTCGCCCATCGCACAAGGAAGCAGAGGGCAAATCGTCGAAATAATGCATGAGTGTGACAAGTTGTGTTTATTTCAAGTTATGTTTGCTTTAAATTAAGTTGAACGATTTGTTTTTATTTGAAGTTATTTTTTACTTCATCATGTAGTGTGTTTGTGTTCGTGATGTGTTTTATTCAAAAAGATGGAACATTGCATCGAGGTGTGTTAATTTTGCAAATCTCCAATGTCATTTAAGCACACAAAATACAAGTACGTAACTATTGAAATTAATACACTTTGTGAAAATGCATGAAATCAATCTATGCGCCATTATCCGGGTTCACCACATCGGGCCCTAGATTTTGAGGACCAATTGGTCCGGGATATTTTCGTTTAGGCTTAATTGCAAGTTTGGTCACTCAAATTGCTACAAAATTTCATGTTTGGTCACTCGAATTGATTTATTCCATTCGTAGTCACTTAAATTAGTTTAACAGTCCAACTTTGGTCACTCTCCGTTAACCTCCGTCAAACTCCGTTAGTACCGTCAGTTAACTGCTGACGTGGCTAACAGAGGTGCTTAGTCATCCTATTTTAACAAAAAAAAAAAAAAAACATGCCACATCATTAACCCCTCCATATTTTAAAAGTCCACCCAAACCCAATCAACCCTTGACCCGAGCCGAACCCCTGAACCGAACCATTCACCTGTTCCCCCTCTCCTTCCCCCCTCTTCTTCCCCAGCTCCGACCCCATTCAATCTCCCAGATCCCCCGTTGCTCTTCGTCGCCGTCGACGCCCTACTAGGCCGCCTCCGAGCTTGCTCTCCCCGTCTCTCAAGTTCCCACAAAGCACAGCGTAACATTTTCATAAGAAGATCCGCCGCTCTCCACCGCTTGCCGAGCCATCCCGGCGAGCTCCGTCGCTCTCTTCCTCATCGCCATTACTGCCACCAAATCATGATTCCAGAGCAATTCTCAACAGCTCAAACCCTCCAGCGGCTTCCTCGCTCAGCTCTTCATTGACATCTTTCAATTCCTCAAACATGGGTCCCAAGAGTTCAATTTGTCTCACCAAGTTGACCTGCATCTTGTTGCACACATTTCCATAATCGGACAGCGCAGAAATCTCATTCACTAACTCTGAGAGTCGGCTCACCAACCCCAAGCTGCTGTTCATGTGGTTAATTAAGAACCCAGGAGCTGAGGGTCTGTAAATTAAACCCAAAAAGGCGATGTTCGACAAGAACGGCGACGGGTTCATCACGAAGCAGGAGCTGAAGGAGTCGCTGAAGAACATCCGGATCTCCGTGACCGAGGCGGAGGTGGAGGAGATGGTGATGAAGGTGGATTCCAATGGCGATGGGCTGATTGACTTCGAGGAGTTCAAAATCCTGTGTAGAAACATGGCCGCTGGCGGGGAGGGAGAGGCGAGGGCGTCAGATCTGGAGGCAGAGGAAATCAAAATTGACAGCGGCGGCGTCGGAGGAGATGAATTGAGAGATGCGTTCGAGGTGTTTGACAGGGATCGGGACGGGATGATCACGGTGGAGGAGCTGGGGTCGGTGCTGTCGTCGCTGGGATGAAGGAAGGGAAGCGGATGGAAGCCTGCAAGGAGATGATCCGGAGAGTCGATGCCGACGGGATGGTGAATTTCGATGAGTTCAGGACGGTGAGCATTCTTAATTTGGTCTCTAATCACCAAGGCGCCGTCGTCAATAATAGGGTTTGGGAGATTGAATGGGGTCGGAGCTGGGGAAGAAGAGGGGGGAAGGAGAGGGGGAACAACTGAATGGGTCGGTTCAGGGGTTCAGCTCGGGTCAGGGGTTGATTGGGTTTGGGTGGACTTTTAAAATATGGAGGGGTAAATGATGTGGCATGTTTTTTTTTGGTTAAAATAGGATGACTAAGCACCTCAGTTAGCCACGTCAGCAGTTAACTGACGGTACTAACGGAGTTTGACGGAGGTTAACGGAGAGTGACCAAAGTTGGACTGTTAAACTAATTTAAGTGACTACGAATGGAATTAATCAATTTGAGTGACCAAACATAAAATTTTGTAGCAATTCGAGTGACCAAACTTGCAATTAAGCCTTTCCGTTTATCATGCCCTAGTACTTTGCATATGGAACACCGCCTTGGCCCTCGCGGTGGTCTTCCACTTTGATCCATCTCATTTGGAATCCTTTTTACCCGCGGGCGCCCTGTTTCCCGCCTAAGACCGATTGGTGGAATGATGACCTTACCCTCATAAACTGGCCAGTAAGCTTCATCCGGCAATGCATGGAAACTCGTACGATAACTCCTCTTTTGTGAGTCAATGTTGAAGAACGAACTGACGAGGGTCTTTGCTCCTGTGCTTTATTACAACCATTGCATGGGAACATGGTATACCTCTACCCTGATACTTTTGACAAGAGCACTCCCCTTTTTTAGTCCTAAAGTTGACGGTGACTTCATGGCGATGACCCCCACGTCTCCCATCCTCCCAGTGCCCAGTCTCGACCGAATACTCGCCAGCATTTCGGTTCATAACAGGGACTTTGTGACGAGAGCTCTTCCGATTATCTTTTTCCATTATTTTTGTGGCATGATCGGAGTGTACCTTACCCTGTGCCTCCCTCTTCTCACACCAGTGGAGATGGTTGACGAACCATCCATTTGTTTTCCAGAATGCCATCTCAACAATTGCAGAGATGAGGAGTGCACGACATTCCCTGTAGACGTTGTTGATACTCTCGCTTGAGTTCGTTGTGGCAATACCCCATATGGTACCTCCGTCCTTATGAAACGTCCACATTGCAAGGTCATGTTGATCAAGCCACTGCGCACCTTCAGGGCATAGCTGATGGATATTCTGCATCTTCTCTTTAAATTTCTTCTCTTGGTAAGCGACAGCTGATGAATATCAAACAAAAGCGTAAGGTAAGCAAGACCGACCTTACCCTCAATACAAGTACACTCGTAAGACTCTTGGGAGAGGTATACATCTCCTTAGAAACACAGTCTGTTTGACAGAAAAGGGGGGGATCCGAGGATCACTTAGAACCCGATTTTCCCAAGAAATGGGAGGATCATGATGATCGCTTAAAACCCCATTTCCTTAGGCATGCATTACTTTACAAAGAGTCTACATAACTGTTGTATTGTATTGATTTAGTCCTCGTTTTATCCAGTTGACAATATATATAGCAATTAATTAGAACGCTTACCGATCCACCATAGATTATCAGCAAGCTTCTTTCGCTTGAAATGATGGTTCCAGTTGCTCTTGAAATGCCGTATGTACCATCTCTGTGACCAGTTCCAGGCTGGATCCAAGCATAAGATAGCAACCCGTATACCGGCGTGGCGAGCTGAGATGATAGTCAGGTTCGTCCGTCTGGTGACATGGAGTTGAATTTGTCTGAAGAACTATCCATAGCTATCGGTATTCTCTCCTTCCAAAATGGCAAAGGCTAATGAATATACTGCTCTATTTGAATCTGCTCCGCTGGCAATCAGTAGAGTACCCTTGTACTTGCCGGTAAGGAATGTTCCAACAACTTGAATCACAGGAACACAGTATGGAAAACCATCAATACATGACTTGAATGCCCAGAAAAGATGCTTGAGATGGCGCTTGTTACCAGGCACCGGCGGTTGAATTTCTTCATCTTGGCAGCGAGGCGAGTAAATGGTGCCAGGGTTAGACACCTCCAACGCCAAAATCAATTTGGTAAAGAATGCATATGATTCTTCCCAGTCACCAAACACGGCGGCCATTGCTTTCTGTTTCCCATGTCATACCTTCTTGTAGTTAATGATATAACCATAACGACTAGAAATGTCGGCGATGATGGTTTTCACCTTCAGGTCGGTCTGCTCCTCAATTAGATGTTTGATAGCCGCGGCAACCACCCTTGATTTCAACTGTCGATGGCCTTTGGATGTTATTGATGACACACATGTGTGCGTGTTCACCGCACGGGATATGACCCAATGGCCGACTCTCTTGCTCTTGATGGCCCGAACCCTAGCTTTGCATCCCTCATTTTGGTTTTTTCATCGAACCATCAGCCTCTTCGTGTTGGAATGGGTCCATTCAAAACTCTGAGTCATTGCTTCAGTGGCAATAGCGTGCCGGACCTCATTCTTCGTTGCAAATTGTTGGCCATTCGTAAAGCCAGTGAGTGGACCCCATACTGGCACCTCTGGCGGGTCCATGTCGGCATCAACATACTAATCTTTATTTGGAATGTGATTGTAGTACGGGATAGGTACACGGTCGCGAGGTACCTCATCACCGTCTACGTCTGAATCTGGACCGGAATCATCAGCACCTTCCAGAGGATCGAAGCTGTCTGCACTAACATCGCCTTCCTCTTCTTCAACCTCAGGGTCACTAACTGGATTTCTTCCATCTGATGATCAACATGAAATTCACCTTCACTTCACCAGCTCCGTAATGGTAGTTGTGGTAACTAACACCGCTTTGGTAGAAGTTGTACGGGTGGGTACTGGTAGCCTGCTTGTTGGTTCTCATCCGCCTGTTGAGCTTCTTCTTTATATGAAGGGAAGGATTGATGATGACCTCCAGTTCCATCATGATACACCTACCTCCAGCTCGAGTCTTGGTACTCTTGGTGGGGATGATCTTCGTATAATACACTCCCACCGTGGATACTAGATGTTTGGCCATATCCAGAAGGACCTGCACCACCTTCAACGGCCTCGGTGTAAAAGAACATCTCTGCTTGCTTAATTTTATTGGTGGCCAAAAATTGTACCATGGCATCAACGTCCTCCTGAGTGGTAAGGAGGAATTCCTCATTCCACAGCGACCCGTCATGTGTGTTTGGATATCGATACACCATTTGATCAACTCTTCTAGTGCCATCCATGCAGGTAATCTGAGTGCACATTTGATGGAGCTCTTCAAGAATCGGTCTCGTACGGACCTTCATTTTATAAAAATTGCCACCGACATAACTTACACCCTTTTCGTTCTCTTCCTAGTAACCATTCCACCGCAACCCAAGTGTGAACCTTTGGAATGCCATATGCAATAAAACTGTAATTAAGTTACTAACATAAAATCACAAAGGACAATGAAAAGTAATACAAAACAAACTTACGAATTAACGTTAATCGAAAAAACTAAATAATTTAAAGGTGCACAACTAAAATTTGAAGAAGAAGGAGGAGTGAAGAGTTTGAGTTCTCTGGAACATCGGAGGGGGAGGGAGGAGCGGTTTTAGGTCAGCCATGTAGCCCCACCACGTGCATGCCGACATGTTGGATGTCGGGTGACCAGACACAAACCGCGCCTTGGGGCAGCGGTTTACTTTGCACAAACCGCGAGTGGGGGGAGCGGTTTATGTCTGCACATGGTAAACCGCGGCCTGGTGGTGCGGTTTACCAAGCCGACATATAAACGCTTCCTCACGAAGCGTTTTATGGTAGGGCAGCCATATAAACCGCGCCTTCGAGGAGCGGTTTTACCTGAAATGGAAAACCGCCTGTTGACCAGGAGTTTCTGATGTAAACCACTGCCTGGTGGCGCGGTTTATATATTAACCACCCCTTAGAGGCGCGATTTTTAATAAACGGTGGTATTTTTGAAAATGGTTGGCAATGAGTGGTATTTTTGTATTTTTTTAACAGTGGTAGTTTTGTATTTTTTACGCATTAAGTGGGCAATTGGAAATTGTCAGTCGAAAATCGAAACTGAAACTTCAAAAAGGGGAACCATGGCGGTAACTTAAGTAGTGAAATTTGTTCATAAAAGGAAATTAGGGTTAGTTTTTTTAAGGATTAATTTGGATTTTGTAGAAATGCATGAACTTAACAAAATATGTATTGTATGCTTCATAATATAGTATGGGTTGGTTGAGAATTCCTGTGGTCGTGGTCTTGGTATATTATCGATAAAGGTTAATAGCATTTTATATCCCTATAATATTACAGTTAACAAAAGTATCATTCAATAATATTTTTGCACAAATATATCCTTAAACTATCACAATATAACAAGTACACCATTTTGTCAAAATTTCCATATAATCACTGTTAAGAAGGTGAGGAAATGACTCATTTACCCCTCTTATTTTCACTTATTAATTTATTTGTTTTATCATATTAATTTACATCTCCTTTTAAAATAAAAGAACAATGAAAATTAAGCTTGTCATCCTACACCCAACTTTGCAGAAGCTAATCATGTCATTCCTACACCCTCATCAGCTAGAAAACGGCTAAATTACGCGTTTGCTCACTCAAATTGCATAAATCTTTCACATTTGCCAACCAAATTACTTTTCTTTCCTATTTACCACTAAGTTTATGAATCATTTCACCATTAGTCATCGATCGTTAGTCTCCGTTAACTGCGTCAAATTTTTAATGACGTGGCAAACGAGGCTGCTAACTGGACCATTAACTTATATGTTAATATAAAAAAATTAAAAAATAAATATTTAAAAATTAAAAAGAAAATCCTACTCTTCACCGCCGCGGCCTGAAAAAATGGGCTGCTCCCCTTCCCCTGGTCAGAAACCCACGTCCCAGCAGAATCCCAGCCTCCAATTGCCACGTCGGCCTTCCA